TTTTTTTATTTAAAAATTTTAGATTTAAATAATACTTTGTATAATTTTTAGATTTATATCTTATTTATTTAGCTCAAATAAAATTTCAAAAAGTGTCCATAATGCCATGCTACCCCACTGTAGTTTAGGTACTATTTTTAGTACTTTTTTTTTATATAATTTACGAGAAGAAAAATTTTTCATCCTTGAAAATATAAAAAAAATTACAGAATTCAAAGCTCTATTAAATTTACATTATATATATAGATATGTTTTGTTTTCTTATAGTATTTATTAACTTTTATAATACTCGTAAAATATAACACTTTTATGAAACAAGTTCGTACTAGACTAAATTTCATTGACATTAAACTTCATAAAGTGAGGTGAGTAAATTTCTAGTTGTTATATATCTGAAGTTACGCTGTCACTAAGGTTAATATCAGAGAACTGGAAGCACTTCGTGGCCACAAGCATGCCTGTGAATGTTCTTCTTTTATATCTAATTCGAAAGACTCAATCTAGCTTTGCACAGAAGTTTGTTATGAATAGGATGCATTGGTAGATTATCTTAACAATGATGATGAAATTTACTTACAAATTTTTTTTCTCTTATAGTATATCTGATTGTGATAGAAATTGTGATATAGAATTATTTAGGAATTATAAAAAACATTTAATCTTAGTTAAATGTAGCAAATATAGACCTGAAAAGAAAGTTACAGTTGGTGATATTAAATATCTTGAGAGCATAGTTTCTGATTATCTGCCAGATACTGTAGGCATTTTGGTAATACCAGCTCAAAAAAACTACTCGATCAATGCTTTAAATTGTGTAAACAAATCAAACCAAAATATTTTGCTCATGAATATTAAAGAAATGAATAATAATATCTCAGTATACTTTCTAATTAAGAAATCAAAGCATTCTGTTAAAGATGAAATTAGTATGCTAGTAGAAAAAATTGAAAAATTAAATAAGAAGTTTGAAGCTCAAAGATTTATTAAAATAATCTTTATTTTTTTTATTACATTAATTTTTTTAGTGCTGATGGAGAGATATTCTATTAGGTATTTAATTATAATTAATTATTTTCAAATTTTATAATTAATACTTAAAACATGATTCTATTTACTACAATATAGGTCAGCTTTTTTTTCAACATTTAATTTTGACCTCGAATTCATTATGCAATTATTAAATAACTTTAATTTTTGTAAATAATAATTGTTGTAAGATCACTGCTATTTTTCTTAATTGTTACTTTCAATTTTTGCTGCATTTATCAGTTAAATTTTTTGTACATATTATACATCACTACAAAAGTATATATTCAATAAAGTAATTCTTTTGACAAATATATTTATTTTGGTGGAATCTATTATCAATTTTGGT